AAAGGCTTCGGAATCATGGTAACTTCTGCGATCTTCCATATTAAGGGCATATGCTTCAAACACATAAATTATGATATAATCAATGACTTGCATGTTACACTGTCAAACTACAAAAGTATGAATTTTGTTTGTTTGGATTTTTACTTGGGTAGCTTTTTTTTGCAGGTCGCAATATAGGGGTGGTGGCATAGCTATATACTGTTAGAACTATATTCTCACCAACTCTATCCATTTATCCTGGTTTTCAATAGACAGGCAGATCGAGCTGTTTGTTGGTAAAACAATACACCCTAAGTCTCTCCCTAAAGAGAAGAATCCAAGCAGCATATGTGATTTGCGTCCGGCATGGGTATCATGTAAAAAACCTATAAAACGTCAAAAAAACCTATAAGATGTCATCTTGCAAACTAGGGCGCAAACAGTCATTCCACATTTGCTCACCAGGATCGTTGTGAACGTCCATCTATGGAGGAATATACACAACTAAACTACACGCATTATTGGTTGCATATATTTTGTGAGAAGAAAGTTGGTTTATATAACATTATTATTTCTTATCTCTCTCATTTTTGAAATTTACCAAATGTGTATATGTAATTTCCAGAATGGATAAGAAAAAGTGGATAAGCAACTAATTTTTTGCTTTGAATCTCAATTAAGTGTATTTGAGACAAGAATCCAATATAATTATCATCAACACATACAACTTACAGCTTAGACCTCCAGTAATGCCATCTCAGAAGCAGATTTTATATCACATCAGATCCAAAGATTGATAACAAGCCTCTTGACGCTTAGGCAACACGTACAACTAAGTGCTAAGTTAATATCTTGTAGAAAAACCTACATAGTGTCAAATAAAGTCGGCATAATGTCACTTTTCAAGATACGTGATACCCGTGCCGCTAGTGTGCAATACCTGCTTTCAAAAATATTAGAAAAAATCTTTAATCAACAAATTTCAACATATATTAATGAAAACACTATTATACCGAGCTATTAAGCCGATTTTCTTAAGAACCATAGTACCACGACTGCACTTCTGAATTTAGTTTGAAGTCGTTAGAGCAAGGGGTAAAAAATTAGTATCGACAGTTGTTTTTCTTGATTACTCAAAAGGTGTTCGTCCGCCTTTTAGTTGCTAAATTAAGATACTATGAGTTTGATCATTTTTAAAATTGTTTTCACAAAATTGCAAACAACGGGTCTCGTTGTATAACACAGTTTCTTCTGTTTCAAACGTTTCACCCGTTGCACCACAAAGCTCAATTCTTAGTCCAATTTTACTTTTGACATATTCTTCTCTTTCTTTATTTTATCAATGATCTCCCTAACTGGTTAACCTGTCCTGCTCTGTTGTTTGCCGATGATTTAAAAATATATGCTCAGATTAACAGCATTGATGACTGTCTAATCTTGCAAGCTGACCTGAATCATATATTGGAATGGTGTTCAACTAATAAATGATTTTTTAATGTTAGCAAATGCAAAACCTGTTCTTTTACCAGGAAAGCGAATCCAATAGTTTTTGATTACACACTAGAACGTGTCAGTTTGATGCGTTGTTCAGAAGTAAGAGATCTAGGTGTATTGTTTGATGTTAAATTAGAATTTACAGGTCATATTAGTACAATAGTATCATCCGCTATAAAAAAGTCTCGGTTTTTTTGATAAGAAACTGTAAATCGTTTGGCTGTGAAACGACACTGAAGGCTTTATACTGCAGCTTGGTGCGTTCTGAGCTGGAATATGCATCTAGTGTATGGCATCCATATTACCAAATCTATACTAATGAAATTAAAAGTGTACAGAGGAGATTTCTTAAATACTGGACTTTCAAATTAGATTTTGTTTATCCCAATCGTGGGACTCCTCAATCAGCAATGTTGCTCAGATTTGAAATGCATCCTCTTGAGCTGAGAAGAGTTTGTAACAGTTTAAAGTTCCTTTACAAACTCATACACAGTGATGTTGATTCTTCAGCTTTATTAGCTAAAATTGTAATTTTATGATTAAGTCACCCGTGTAGTTTATGTGCTCCAGCTTTAACGCCATAGCTGATCACTGTGACATTCATCATGATAAAATCAAAGACATAGTATCTGTATTCAGCGATTACTATTATTCAATTTATAACATTTAAGACATGTAGGTGAGTAGGTGTAGCTATTCATTTTTTTTTCGTAAAATGGGTGAGCTATGATTGTAGTTGAAAATATTGTAACATCAAATTGTATTCAATTACATTGTCCTTTAAATGGATGTATCTGTTGGGCAATAAATATATTATTATTATTATTATTATTATTATATACTTCAGATATATTTAAATGTATAAATCATTCATGTGTACAAACTTATGCCGGTCATACGCAAGTAGTTTATAGTTTCTATCCCGAAATTTATTAACAGCTATACTGATCAACAAAAATACATAGTTTGAATTCCTGTGCTCAGAAAATGACAAAAGTAAGTTTAAAGAAGATTTCAGTATAGTTATTGATAGTGTAAAACAGAATTTTTGTAACGTTCCAAAATTTTGGGTGTACAAATTAACGAGCAGCTTCGTTTTAGACAACACACTAATATTAGTCCAGAAGCCATACATACGAATTCGTTTAATATCAATAATAGATTCATTTTATGTAACATATTGAAAGAACGGTTAAGTGAAATCTTGGTTCTCTCTAATGTTAAATATGGATTCTTAGTTTATTTTCCTTGTTTAGAGTACAAATGATACAAAACATACGTTGTCGCTTTATTAATGGAAATATGACCATATACCTGATAAAATTAAGGACTTGAGTTGCTTAAAAATTCCAGCAACATTCCAAAATGATATCATGAATTGATCAACAACATATATTTCAGATCAAACGTTCATACTTTAAACATAAGATATCAACTATCTGTTGTCATGCCTTCTCACTCAACAAGCTTTTTCCATAGAAGTTTTACATATCAATGAATCACGAATTTCCGGCACGAAAACTTAGACATATATGTATATTATTAACTCATTATAACAGATTAACAAGTAGGTTTGCATATTTCATTTGCCTATTTAAAGCTTTTCATTTTTAACTATTTCAATGCACGGCATCTACCAAAGATTAGGCGTAAGAGTAGCTTTAAGCTAAGTCCCCCTTGTAGATAATAGTAATAAAGACGATTATTATTGATTTATTTCAGCTTTGAGAAGTTGCTGTGGAAACCCGTTTTCGAAGCTTCTTGCAGATACTACATCTGAGTTAATAAGTGGGTCCTCCGCCTATGAACCAGTAGATGCGGTGATATTTAACCGACTGGGTTTGGGGTGACGCGTGGCGGTCTCGGCGTCGGATTTTAATCTACATGCACCGTCGCGGCGCGTCGCGTCGTGCGGCGTGGTTTTTACCCTCTCGCCCTTACCTCTCCCCTCCGTTTCCTCCGGACTACTGGGGGCGGCCACAGCGATAAAAACATCTTGTACCACCCGGCAAGATTTACTCCTTCGGCCACATATTCAAATTATCAGCGGATTTGTTTCTTCTTTCTTATTTTTCGGAGAAGTTTAATGTTTTAAAAGTTTTACGGTTTCTCGGATTGCGATGCAGCCACCACCACCACCACCGAGGAATTAATGGAAACGGAGATTGCAACCAGTGGCGGGACGAAAATTTGCATTTGAGATGCGCTTTGCACTTTTGTAGCTTGAGGTTGAATTAAATGAATATATTTAACTACCGTCGCATAAAAAAAGAGTAGCATTGGTTACGTACATTAGAAAAAGAGGATACTCAGGCGACTCTGTACTATACTCACACGTTCGCCATATTTCAAGGCATTCTGTTGTGACGAAGCAGAGTGGTAGTTACGACTATGCTGTTATAAGATTCGCTGTTATGGTGTTTGTTGAAATTTACAGCAAATCCAGGTTATTTGAAAACAAAACGGTGTCGAGGAGATCAGCTCACGAAGTAATGCTCTTTGGGTATCAAAATTGATGTATGAAACTAGAAAAGAGCTATTGACACAAGTGTTCGGAAATGACATGAATTTTCGTTTTGTGTTCGTAACCCGTACCTTTACCGCCATTGCATAAATTTTCAAAAATGGTCCACAATTGATTGACACTTCTATACATGTCCTCGTACGTTGTATCGTATTTTGAAGCTGCGATCATGATGTGTGTGATGTGTCTGAACCGTAACAAAATGTCGTTTTTCACTTGAGAATACTTTGTAATCAGGGAAGTGATTTATAGTCTAATCATTGATTCCCAAAGTGGTCTATATCGACCCCTAGGGGTCTATGACAACCTGCAAGGGGTCTACGTCAGCGAAAAAAATTTGGGGGTCCATGAAATGAATATGGGGGTCCACGATAGTGGATCTCAACACATACACTGATAGTACCTATTTACTTACATCATACTATCTTATAATATCAAAACATATACATTATTTATAAAAGTACCTATGAAGTAAAACATTTATTATATCTATATGTTTATAAAATTGTGTAAGTTGTAGGATGTTGGTATTCGCTTTGTGGTCGCAATACATTTTGAACTTGTGAAAACCTGAGAGTCGCAGTCTCAGAGCTTCGCTACCTTGCACTGACTTGTTCAAATCGTCACTCTATAAATACGAATGTGGGTCCAATACGTTTATTCGTTTCCTGAATCTTGAAAAGGAAAGTGCTAAGTAATATTTTAAAAAATATAAACAGACAGTATATCACACAAATTATAGTGAGTCAGTGTTATTTTGTTTGAGAGTGCTGGAGAAAAGTAAGTACATTATTTTTTATTAAATTTTAGTTTTGTACTCGTAGTTAGCAAAGATAGATAAATTACGCCAATCATGACTTTAGTTATTAGTAGTTAAATATTCAATCATGCAAAATTACACAAGTACTCCTCAATAGTTTCTTTTTTAAAGTTTTAGCAATCGGTAATATGGATTTTCTATCTTATTTAAATAATTTAATTTTGCCCACAGATGACTGATGCCATGTCCGAATCTAAAAAGAGATGTAGACAGTACAGTGTGGATTATTTGAAATTTGGCTTCATTCCATCATTGCCGGACAAACAATCGCCTATGTGCCTTTTATGCAACAAAGTTTTGGGCAATGACGCTATGAAACCATCTAAACTGCAAGATCATCTGAGGAGATGCCACCCTGATAAAACAGAGAAAGATTTGAAATACTTTCAAACACTCAAAGATAAATTTCAGAAGAGACCTACACTGGACAGAATGTTCGCTTCGACGTCACAAAGAAGTGATGATGGTTTGCGGGCGTCTTAGAATATCTCGTTACTTATAGCAAAATCCGGAAAACCGCATACTATCGGAGAGAAGTTAATTTTGCCAGCCGTTGAAGAGGTTTTAAAAACTGTTTTACACAAACCTGCATCTGATATCATTAAAAGAATTCCCTTAAGCAACAATACTGTTGAAAGACGTATTGATGAAATGAGTTCTGATATTGAAAGCTTCTTATGTAATTATTTGCAAACGACCCATTTCTCTATACAACTGGACGAGTCAACTTTACCTGATAATGCAGCATTATTATTGGCATATGTTCGTTTTATTATGAATCAAGAAATCTACGAAGAACTGCTCTTCGCAAGAACTTTGATAGCCGACACTAACGGTGAATCAATATTTCATGTTTTGAAGGATTACTTCATTGAAAAAGCAATCCCTTTATCAAATATAATATCAGTAGCTACAGATGGAGCACCTGCCATGATTGGACGTTATCGTGGATTTATAAGCTATTTAAAACAAAATGTGTCAGGGGTGTTAGCAATACATTGCGTCATCCATCGACAACATTTAGTTGCAAAAAAATTGAGTGTCAGATTGCATAAATCACTTCATTCAGTCATTGATGCAGTAAACTGAATCCGAAGCAACTTTCATCAATTACTCCTTCACACTGAAGTACGCTGGCTGTCGAAAGGCTTATGTTTGACAAGATTTTTTGCACTTTTTGAGACTATTTTAGAATTTCTGGGTACCAAAGATAAAATTTTAAAAGAAAATTTAATGAAGAGGAAAACAGACATCGCCTATTTAACAGATTTGTTTACAAAATTTAATATGGTTAATTTGCAATTACAAGGCGACAGCTTAAATTTGATTGAAGTCCATCTTATCAGCGTTTTTTGTCAGAGTTAAACTAATGAAGCAAAAAATTTCTCAGTTACCCAATTTGTCACAGGCAAGCTGCCAGGAAGACGACGTTTCAACTTACGTTCGACATTCAAATGCCCTCTATTCAGATTTTGAATATAGGTTTGAGGATATTTTGACCATGGTAATACCACCGTGGATAATTAATCCATATGGTGACATAGAAGAAACGAATGTCATAATACAAGAGGAACTGACTGAACTAAGTACAAACGAAGAACTTAAGGTTCAGTTTAAAAACGGATATCAGCAATTCTGGCTGCAAAACAACATACCCGTTACTTATCCCGTATTATGGAATATAGCAAGGACATTTTTAATTTTCTTTCCATTGTCATACCTAGTGGAAAGGGGGTTCAGCGCTGTTACCAATCTCCTAACGAAAAAAAGAAACAGACTGGGACTTACAAAATTGACGCCAAATGTTGATAATTTATTATTAAAGCATCAGGTTCATCCTTCTCACTAGAAATATTGACTTATTGCTTATGTTATTTTATTTATAGTTTATTTTATGTTTATTGGTGTCTGACCAATGAATGCCCGCATTGGGAATAAGTGCCCGCATTGATTTTTTTAAAGAACCCGCCTTTAGAGAAAATATTTTTTTTTAAATTATCCTGAAAATTCAAGGATAGGTACACACTAAAATTCGTTAATTTTTTGCCTATTTTTAGATAACTTAAACGTATAAGAAGCGGAATTCAATCAAACTAACAGTGAAATTATTGTAGAACATGTTATAATTAATAAACGAACTCGCTTATTGTACTATTTTAACTAAAAAACTTTTTTTTAATTATTTTTCACTTATTTTATATTTTATACCTCTTATTTTTTTTTTAAAATGTGGGCACTTATTCCCAATGCGGGCACTTATTGGACAGACACCTGTTTATTTAATGTTACGTATATTTTACATAACAGATACAAAATTTTATTTTGAGTAGTTTTAATTTAAATTCAATTAATAAATGTATAAATTAACATGTGTTTTTACTTTAAGTTTTTAACACTAAACTTCACCACAGTTAGAAATTTACAGGAAATCAATATGAGGTAAGTAGGGGGTCTACCCAACACGGAAAAACATGGCAAGGTGTCTACGACACAAAAAAGTTTGGGGAACTCTGGTCTAATCATATTAGACGAAAATACTCCTAATTGTAAAGTCTGGTTTTATTGCTGCAAGTTGTTCAAGATGGTATTTAAAACATGGACGCATAAACCGGGTACACCAATTTTTTTGGAAAAACTTTCTATTCGACAACAAAAAACTCTTCCAATAAGATTTTTAGGTATTTATGAGATCTACAAGATGAAACCATACATATCCGACTAATATCAAAAAATTTATGACCGAAAACCGAGGCAAACTGCAGGTTTTGGCCCTTGTTGGTAATGCGACGATGGCTTCTCGCAGATATTTTCACGTGTAACCTCATTCTGTAGGTCTCTTTAATACCTTGAAATCTTGTATTAAAAGTTTTTTCGTTCCTCTCAATACTTTCGGTTCAATCCCAAAAAACACGTCGTCTCATACTTTTTTGTCAAATGAAAAGTTTTCCCACAAAAATTGGTGTACCCATTTTATGCGTCCAAGGTTTAAACAATTTGCACCAATAAAACCAGACTTTACAATTATTTCGAAAAAATTTACTAATATGATTAGAATAGCATATCGACATTTTATTCTGAGCGATTATTCACAATACCCAAACTCACAATAAAGCAATATCCTTCGATAAGACACATTAGACCAGGGCTGTTTTTTAATTGAAAGCAAATTCTCCCAGCAGTGCCCTGTCCAAGGATTGATGGATGAGCCGGCTTTTGTGTCTACATCCATGTTAGATTAGAGTCCTCGGAGATTGCAACCGTTTGTTCTACCTATTAGGATTTTAGTGATTGGTTTGGAGTTTTGCTCCAGTGTGAAACGGATCCTTGATCTTACCATAGACTAGTTGACACTTTTCAGTTCATACGCCAACTGACGAAGACGTACTTTAATCGCGAAAAAAAATCGAAATTGAGTTATTATGATTTTTGGATGTTATATGACATGTACATCACAAAAAACCATGCCACTCGTTTCCGTCGGTATGTCTGTGCGTCATATAAAGAAATCGCAAGGAATAAGATTTGGAGAACGAGGTGCCCATTGAGTAGGAGCTTCTTGGCCTCTACCAATTCATGGCATCATCAAATCTCTCGTTCAAGTAATTTCTTACAGCACGCGCAAAGTGGAAACCATCATTTATAAAAAACCAGTCTCTTCTCATATTCAGAGACAGTTCCAGGTAAAACGTGTTGTAGAAAATAAAGATAGCTGTCTCCGTTTAATTTATCATTTAACCTATATGGACTAACTAAAAAGTTACCAATAATCCACATTCAAACGTTAATTTTAAATTCCTATTAAAAATGTCTATCTGAAACAGCATGCAGATTCTCTTTAGCGTAAACATGTGTATCATACAAATTTATTATACTACGTCGAGTAAAACATGACTCATCTGTAAACAAAATTTTAAAATACATTTTGTACGAATCCTAAACATGACTGATGGTCAGTAGGTGGACAGGCTCATCGTGAAAAGAACTAATGAGTTGTTCACTTAAAATCCCGTTTACGGTGGTTTTGTGAACTACTTGTTCATGTTCTAACCTAGAAGTGCTGATATCTGGATCATCTTCGACCACTTCAAGAACAGCTTCTCTCGCCATTTGTCGCGGTTTCCCAGCATTGATTCTTAGCGCCGTAATGTCAGTCGTTCCGTCTTATGGCCTTTATGGCCTCCTTGTTTTTCATGTTTTTCTACTCTTCCGTGTTAGTGCTCTATTTTGAGTTTATGTTACAAATATCTATTTGCATCAAATTGTTGAGGCTTCAAGCAACAAGAACTCAACCAACAATAATCTCAAACGTTGATAAATACAGGGTGTCCGCAAAGGTGGGGTTTTCCTTTTCAGAAACAACTACCCTTGAAATAACAAAGGTAATGTGTAGTGAAACGAGGGCGACCAAGTAAAAAAAAAATAAAGGAAAAAGTACTCACTCTCCAGTTGACGAGAAGGGCTAAGTACGTCTCTGCCTGAAATCGAAAGTTATTTACCCCATTACGCGTGAACGTAGATTCGTCTGTCACCAATATGCACTTCAGAAAGTCCGGATTATTGTCATGTTGATGCAACAACCACTCACAAAACCGCACTCTTGCTGGAAAATCGTCAGGTTGAAGGGCTTGTACACGTTGGACGTTTGCCACACTTTAGTTTTTGATACTTGCATGTCTCTAGCCAGTCTCTAGTGCTTGTTGAGGGATTCTCGTCTACGCGATTCAGTAGTTCTTCCTCAACTTGCACCATTCGTGGTTGTCTAGGCCTCCCACTGTGACCACCTCGAAATTCCTCCAAATGGCCCGTATCCCTGACTCTCTGGACCAGGTACACAAATCTGCGGGGCCTTGGATGATGTCGTCAAGGGAACGATCTGCATACACTCGCGACGATTCTGTATCATTTTGTAGACATTCGCCATAAATTAACAACATATCAACGAGTTCATTATTGGTGTATGAGTGTGCCATTATTATTTTTTTTTTGAAACGCAATCGATTATACGGGTTCGTTACCTCTATACGCGTGACCCTTTACCGTCGGTTGAAGGTTGCATACTGACCTGACACACTGACCCTGACCCCCGACCCAGTTCTGTCGTCGGGTTCAGCTAGTAGCCGGTACCAGTCTGAGATATCGCGGGTCGCGGCTACAGGACGGTATTCAGATATTTTTGATGTTGCAGAGCCCTTTATCTCGGTTCCCTTAAGACATTGGTGTATATGCTACTAAGAAAAATTGCTTATGTTTTCAAGATCTACACGTCGTGTAAAGGAAAACCCCAACTTTGCGGACACCCTGTATAAGATGTATGAAGAACAAACAACAAATTAAAAATAAAGATTACTGTATGACGCTTGTTGTCCAAAATAGTCTGTCACTGACATAATATCCCACACTTCCGCCAACTACAGTGAAAGCTCTCCTTGCGGACAGCTCCTATAAGCGGACATCTCTTTTAACCGCACAAAGTTCCTGGAACCGAATTTCAGCCATCAATTTTCAATGTTAAATGCATTCCGATAAACGGACGCTCTTATAAACGGACGCGGACACTAGATTTTCCTGTATGTGATCAAAAAATCTCCCATAAGCGGACGCGAAACTCTAATACCCGGACGATTTTTTAGTTCCGCTTATTGCAATGCACATATCTATCTACATACATAAAATTCGGTAATTCCCCGATTTATATTAGGTGATTCCCCATTTACGCATTTCGTTGGGTAGCCTGTATGTAATCTTGTGGCTTGTCTTCAGTTCAGGCAAATTCGTAGTTGATTGAGTTACGTATTTTATTATTGTAACTGTAAAATGGCACCAAAAAAAAGGATGCTCTCGTTAAAGGAAAAGATGGAAGTTGTTAACGTATTAGACAGAGAAAGTGTTTCAGTTCGTCATTTGGCAAAGAGGTTTAATATTGGGAGAACGCAAGCAGCTGAAATTGCCAAAAATAAGGAAGATATCAGGAGTAAATGGCAATCAGGAACTAATATAAATCAAAAGAAGGATTTTTTAAAAAAGGAAGGTTTTGCTATAGACAAAACATGTTTTGAGTGGTTTGTGAAAGCTAGAAGTCAGAACATTCCAATCTCAGGGCCGTTAGTGAAAATGAAAGCTAAAGAAATCGCCACTACTTTGGGCTATAATAATTTCAGTGCGTCCGACGGGTGGCTGCAAAAGTGGCGCAAGAGACATAGTGTGAGTTTCAAATGCATATCAGGCGAAGCTGCTGCAGTAGATCAAGTTGATGTGTCACAATTTTTGGAGAAACTTCCGTCCATGTTGCTTGGCTACAAACCAGAAGGTGTGTACAACGCAGATGAGAGTGGACTTTTTTTTCGCGCATTGCCCGACAAAACTCTGTCCTTTAAAGGAGAAACGTGTGTGGGTGGAAAGTTGTCTAAAGATAGACTAACCATTTTATTCTGTGCAAATATGGCCGGTGAAAAATGCGATTTGATTGTGATCGGGAAAGCGGCTCGTCCCCGTGCGTTAAAAAACGTTGCTATTAAGGATCTACCAGCGACTTGGAAATCCAACAAAAAGGAATGGATGACCCGAGAAATCATGTCTGAGTGGTTAGTCGAATTCGACCGGAAAATGAGAATCCAAAAAAGGCAAGTTCTTTTATTTTTAGACAATGCATGCTCTCATCCTCGTGATATGAAAATGAAAAATGTGAAAATTATATTTTTACCGCCAAACACAACTTCTGTTTGTCAGCCCATGGATCAAGGTGTCATACAGAACTTCAAATTTTATTATCGGCACTTGATTTTAAAACATATTTTAACAAAAATTGACGATGGTCAAAGCTTATCTGAGCTTACAAAGTCTATCAATGTGTTAGAAGCTTTGTATTTTAAAAAAACAGCATGGAATAAAGTAAATTCCTCTACAATTAAAAACTGTTTTGGCAAAGCTGGATTCAGAAAAAGTGAATGTAGCTCAGAATTTGCTGAGCAAAATTATTGCGATGCTGAACACGATCTGCCCTTAGCGACACTTGCTCAGTTACTGCGACATGCCAAACATTTAGGAGTAGCAGATCCCCAGAAAGTAGATGATTTCCTGGCCATAGACAATAACATAACAACAGAAGAAAATGCCATTGGCAACTTTTCGAATTTGGATGTAGAAAGCCCAGGCCAACTTGAATATGGTAGTCCAAACGACTCAGAAGAAGAAGTGGAACTGGTGGACTCACTAAGCCGTTCAAAAACGATAAATTCATATGGGGAAGCTCTAAATCATATTTCTATATTGAAAAAATTTGCTAAAGATGATTTCACTGCATTTCAACATTTGAAAAATTTAGAAAGTTATTACGAAAATTGTCTCCTTCAGCAAAAGATGGTGAAATTTCGTCAGACAAACATTTTAAACTTTTTTCAACAAGCTAAAGAATAATGTTTTTTTTAAATTCTCGTACCATGTATTGAAGCATTTATGTTTTTGTATGCGTATATGTACATATATTATATAGATATATAGCATAAATACATACTTTAAAAATGTGGCGAGTTTCTGTTTCATTTTTCTCATGATTATAATACCTCATTTTCTCATGATTATATACCCCGTTACTTATACTCTATACTTACATACTCTCTTTTAAACGGACACCTCCCATAAGCGGACAAAAGTTACGGAACCGTGAGTGTCCGCTTATGGGAGCTTTCACTGTATATTCAAATTCAAAAAAATAAATATTTATTTCGTCATGAGTAAACATGATAAACAAAGGAAATTCTACATATAGGGCAATGACGAAAAAGGACAGTCTCTCGATTATAAAACCACTACATTGGACCCTTTATTACAAAGAACACCCTAAAAGTCCTTAAACTAAGTAAAAAAAAACAATAATGAGGCAAATGAAGAGGCGGTGAAACACAAGAAGGCAAAAACGAAGAAAGAACCCCCGGTAGCTGGCAACGAACTATATGCCTACCAGATTTTAGCACTTGATGTAATAAATAAAATTTTCAGAAGCCAGATCCGAGAAACGTTTTATAACATGCAAAAGTCAATAGAAGGACTCTGCTATAATTAATGTGGGGATCAAGATAGTTTTCGCCCTTCCCAAACCGTTTAGGATTCATTGTAAAAGTCAAATATTAGATCGTTAAGTAGAACATATGTGGTTCCAAAGATATCTGAAAATGTTTATTTTGAAAAGAAAGCTTTGACGCCTAGTAGCGAACGAACAAGGCACTTATGCAAAGAGGTAAATTGTGACTAATCGACTTATTTTGAGAAAAAAAAATACGTGGAACTCTATCTGCGGAATTTTGGGACACACATGTTCTAGTATCGAACATTGAAAATGTAAAAACTTGATTTCTGGTACATAACCTTGAGATCACGTTTTTGTGCCACTCCAAGACTTTTTTCTCATCCTAAGATACCAAATATAACTGTATATGTGTGTATAAGCTAGATAAAGAATATTTACATGTCTTAGGCTTAGGAATGCTGATAATTGTCCGGGTATAATCAATATGTTAATGACGCTGTCGATATAAACCCCTAAATATTTTATCAGCCCTTTGTACTGTGATTGTGTTATTAGTGTTCATCGTGATGGTTAGCTCGTTGAACTCAAGTAAGTGCCACTTATAGTACGCAAATGGGACAAAACTGGTCTTTGGATAGTTCGCCGTCAATAACTTAAAATATACCGCAATTTTATTAAAATCATCCTGCATTAGAGTTAATAATACATCCCAGCTTGACACGTTATATACAATGACGGAGTCGTTTGTTTCAGTTTCAAACAAATCATTCATGTAAATGCTGAAGAGGAAGAGCCCCAGTACAATGCCATGTTGTGCATTGTATTCATCTATTCTAAATTTACTAGTTATGTTTTCACATTATTGGTTCCTGTTGCTCATACTTTAGAGACTTTATATTTGAGGTAACTTCTAAAACAGTTGTTGATAGAGGTGCCATTGAATCGTTGACAAATTATGAATGAATTTGGTTCGAACGAATGGATGTAGAAACTTAGATACTTTTAAGAAGCACGATAGACCTAGATATGGTTGTTCCATGTCATGGACAATAGAGAAGATGAGAGAATTTTGATTCCATTTTAAGAAATTCCATGAAGAATATTGGATCCGTATACAAAATTGAATAAAAAAATACTTTTCAAGAAATGCAGTCACCTTTACCACCAGACTCGTCAGCCTCTAATGGTCAGAACGGTGACTGGGCTATCCAAATGCTAACTGAGGCTTTTACGAACCGGTAGGTGCTGTACCATGTCGCCATCGCAATGTATAGTTGAAAGAATAGTCATTCGTTGCAGCAAAGACCAGGCCTCGACCATACTGAGGAGTTGCCAAAAGGCTCGAAACAGCTGCCCAAAGCAGCATATTTAGCTAAACGCATTACCGTGACACTAACCCCGATTTCCAACATTTTATCCACAGTTTCCATAAATAAATAGGGTAAGTGTATACAATATCGCCATATTAAGCTTTAAATTTTTTTTTAGATAGGAGAAACCTATTTTTTATGAAAATTTATATGTTCAACATTTTATCTAATCTATTTACCAATAGTTTCGGAACGATTGGTAATATTTCTAGCACACGGAGAGCAGTTGTTAAGTTTTCAAATAATTTTGCAAATTAGCGATATTTTCATCAATAGTCTAGCAATATCGCCACCTATTTTATATATTGAGTTGTCAATAAACTTTTAAAAAGAAGAAAAACGAAACCAAATTTTTAGAAAAAAGTTTTTATTCATAAGTACAATTAATAATGGCAACAAAAATTATGAACAGTAAAGACAGATATATCTGTGTATTTTGTCCTCCATAGTCAATCCAAGGCAGTCATCATGCAAAGGCGCATATCGGCCACTCTGTCTTCTTGACATGCTCTGCAATACCAACTTTCTTCTTTCTTTTGCTTCGGAGACTTTTTGTTTGGTACAATTTTCTTTCATTTTGCGGACTTAGGCTTCTTGTCTCCGGCTGAAGATTTATTGAAAAGGTCCTTTGTAACAACTTGTGCTCTGCTATTTATTGCCGGTTTTCTGAATTTTCCTTGGGACTTTTGTGCTAATTCCGGTGTGTTGAGCATATCAGTGAAAGAAACATCGTGCTCATCAGTGGTTTTGGAAGCCTCACTAGTTTTGTCTTCAAATGAAGTCTCAAATGTCTCAAAAGTTTTATCGTCAGAATCATCACTACCGGTAATTTTTTGCGAAAGGCTGTTCAAGTTTTTTTTTTGAAAGATTTAATAAGGTATTCTTAAGTGTCAGTTTGGTTGTATTTTATGGACCCGGAGGCAACTTGATTTACTGGATTTTCAGTTTCGTAGGCTTCACCAGTTCCGTCTTCCGATGAAGTATCAGAAATTTCAGAATTATTTTTTGAATAGTTGGATAATTTAGTCTTAATCGTCAGTTTGGCGGTATTTGAAGGTCCCACAGACGCTGTCTCATTTATAGTTTGAACAGCTTGATTAACTGGATTTTCAGTGACGCTACTAGAAGCAAATGCTTCAACCGGTAGAATATCAGGGTTAAATGGAAATATACAAGTGGCAGTAAACCCAGATTTAACATTAGAGGGGGTCATGTTCTTGGGTGGTATTGCTTGGTAAGCAGTATAGGGTCATGCCTAACTCTTCAACGACTGTGAAAATTGAGTGGTCTAAAAGACATTTAGCGCCATCAAAAATTAAGAGACATGGTCAAGGAACTTTGAATTTGACAAGATGTTGAAACCATAATTTGAAGGTTTTTATGGTCATACTACCTTTGGGTGTCATCAAAGCCATGCTTCCTGATGGAAGAGAGTCGGTCCATTCCTGTTTCATTCGTTTTCCTTTGTATAGCACTAAAGGACGGACTGCAGAACCCAGAGCGTTTCCACAAGAGACTATTGTCACATTTTGTCCATGTTCATTAGCTACAAGATGAACTCGTTTGGCACCCTTCCTTGCAAGGACTGTTTGTTGGTGATGGAAAGCCAGACGACAGCCTTTCTCATCCATATTATATATGCACTGAGGTTTATCCATGATGTCAAGCTAAGTCAGAATTTCACGCAGTTTTGAAAAGTGGTCATTCACTATAGACCGGTTTAGTTTTTGGGCCCTGGCAGGATTCATACTCTGAGCCTTCCGCTTTCTAATTTGAAGATTCCGGTTAAAGAATCCTTTGAGCCAGAAACGTCCAGATAATATTTTTTCCTTATTAAATGGATGGTATATGAAGTTAGCATCGCAAAAATTAAAAACACACCTACGCAATACTTTAGAAGTTAGCGGATATCATATTTCTGCCAAGAGAATAATTCTTGAACACAACTCTTGTTCGTGTTCCTTGGTGAGCATAGATTTACGACCCATGCTACATTTCGATGTCAGATTTTTTCCTAAGTAGTCCCTCAGCTTTCCACGGCATACCAAAAATCGCTTACTTGCTAAATTCTTGGACATACCATTTCGAACTACCGCAATAGCTTTTTGCAAGTTTTCCTCACTCCACTTTCCCCGTATACCTCGATTCCGTTCTCTAAGCATAGTTAATCTGGAAATAAAAAATAAATGTGTGCTAAAATTCAAGGATCTCAATATTTTTAACTGGTGTAAGCAATATAGCCACTGGCGATATTGTCACACAATGAGATTGGCGGTATTGCTATTAGGGATATCCGTTCAAGGTTTGTTTATTAACAAAGATTAAAACTATCTTTCGAATGGAAAGTGAGGAATAAACAAATACACAAAAGTATGCTTTACAAGATAATTATTCGGAAAAACTACTTACCAAGTAATTTTGGATGATATAAACAAAATAGCTTTTAATATACTTTAGATCGCACATACACGAAACAAACTTTTACCGATAAAAAAACAAGTGAAATGAAATGTGAGGTTATGAAGCAACTATTACTCGTCATTTGTCGTAAATTTATTATCTCATATAGAATCAGTAGCGCCATCTATCAACTAAGGGCATTAGGTACACATGGCGACATTGCCAACATGGCGATATTGTCAACATGGCGATATTGTATACACCTACCTTATTTCTGTATAGTCATGATGAACATCATCACATAACTTACTTCATCAGCGTATGTCGTCAGCCAGGACTCCTTGTTCCTGGTTAAGGCTTTAGTAGCCAGTAGATCTACCAGACGACTCTAAAGCATATGTGACTGGAAGTACTTACTAAAATGTTACTAATGTGTGAAAATGTATCTTGGCCCAAAAGTGCGCCCTCTTGGAGCTGGAATTGAGTAATACGCATAAATGGCAGGATTATTATATCTTATTTAGGTCTAACGTCTCCATAACTTATTCGCATGTCACTAAACCAGTCTATAAAGCGGCCCATAATCCCTTCGTATTCCGTTTAACCCTGAATAGTGGCGATAAAATTTGGGAGCGCATAAAAAAGCGGGGTCTGTGGTGGCTCTATAGCGGCAAAGAGAGACCCGTCATGGCAGCTATCAACAGGTCGGCAATCTAACAAAAGCGAAATGTTGCGTATCCTCCATAAATATTATATATTAGCTGTCGTAAAACAACCGACAAGCGACAGGAACCGAGGATTACGTCTGGACAATATGTCGCGTAGGTGGATGCTAGTCCGTTTACGTTCGGTGCTCATATCTATTGCTGTGCTGAATGATGTTAGAAGGATGATGTCGACTGAGAAAGTGTACGCGACATAAGTGAGTAATAATATACATATCTCAGTTTTTGAGTTTGGTTGTACCGGTTACGTTTTAGATCGCAAAGTTCCATAGTTAAATGTACTTGCTACATGCAGAATTTTCTTTGTCGAAGGTTCCGGAAATTATTATATTATGGGGCAAGGTAAATCGAACGTGGCTAATGTAGCCGGGGTGGCATCACCCGAAGCATGTGAGCAGTGCTTGAGGTCTGGTCTTATCTGGGCCTTGTACAGAGTAAGGATGTAATGAGGTCATGTGGAGAAAAGTGCATCTTACACCTAAGGGGAGCAACTGCCGCTATTGACGAGATGTATTCATGCCAGACCAAATCCTTGGTGATCTGGACTCCGACCAGCCGAACTAAATGGCCCTTTGATAGAACTGAGTCATCCATCGAAACCGGATGATCGTCAAAGTAGAGTACTGCGTTTTGGAAGCATTAAGCTGTACATGGTTGTCCCCAAGCAGTGGCAACCTCCAGGTGACTCATCAGAGAAGAAGTCGCTGCTGGTCTCCTTTTTTCCAGCTCACCGGCAGAGATCATAATAATTGGTTTTTCATCGGTAGTTAAACCAATGACTGTATTGTGATAAGGGGAATGTAATAGATAAATACATCGTTGTTGAGCAGTAAGGGCTAAAAGGTTATATCGACGTGAAACTTTAAAGCATCTAAGTAAAGGTGCTAGCGGTCAATGTAATCAAGTACACATTCATTTTTGATCATTTTTGACCTATAACCAAACTCTGTAGGAAGCTGTTCTGCTTGAATGCATCTGGAGAACCATAACAGCTGTTGGACAATAGTTGGGTTATCTACTTAGAAGCTAGAATCGTCTACTTCACTCTCTAAAATAGACGACCAAATATGACCCTCTTTCGAATGTTGTTTACATGGCTGTACTACAGCTTCTATGGCTATGCCACCCACACTTCATGCAGTTCAGTGACCGGTAATTCTTCCTTAACAGAAACCCTCACTCGTAATTTATAAACAAAGTTTGCATCACATTGTTTTTTTCATATTTTATTTTCAACAGGGGAGTTTATTTTTCGGAATAGCCGAATCATGTTTTCATATGCATTTACCATATCGTTTTCCAGTTCCGCGATTCTAGCTCTGTGATTACCTTAAGGACACCTTGTCGCAGCTGTTCATGTTTTCCGGGCACATAATAATTTATCATTTAGTTTTATAAAGAAATTTATGGTTTTGTATTAATCTGCGTATTTGTGAATCAATAAAATATCCTGCTTTTAACTTTACGTCACTTAAGCTTGGACAGATGTGATTTAAATGCAAAAATTCTTTGCCGTTTTTATCCACTGACTTCACAAAAAATTTCATCAAGCAGAGTTTTATATACAGGGGAGGTAAAATAACGTCTTCGGGGTCAATTGAAGCCAAGTATTTTATATTTGCCTTCCCACACACAATTTCGGTTTGTGCGAATTTTTAACCAAGCAGAGCTTATCAGTAGCTTTGCCTTTCCACATGCAAAGTAAACAACTGTACTTGATAGCTTTGTTCCAACAAACGATCGCAATCCTATTGAACTGAACCGAGCATGCGCACATGAAACTTTCTGTTCCAACAAAAAATGAAACTGATTCTGAACTATTCCGAACTTTTTCATACCGTTCTGATTCCGAGAGAGAACTAAATTTGTCGCATACGCGTTTACAGCGTAAATGGCGTCGACCAGCTGTCCATAGCTGAGAATCTGGACCTTGTGGTTGCCATTTTGTGCCTTTTCGAACTTCACAATCTTTGCATATATCATAGCTTAGTGCAATAGATTAACCCAGTTAAAGCTAAAGCATTAATAAAAATTATTCAAAATTTTACAGGAAAACTAGGATTTAAAAGTGTTTCTGTTTTAATTAAAAGAATAGCTGAGAAAGTTAATCGTATATAAAAAAATAATGGAATTAGTGTGAATACAATTGAAATAATTCTTAATCTCAAAAAATTTCTATTAATTAAACCATGAATAGTTTCGAGTAAATTAATAGCTTGGTGTTGTTAACATTCCCCTTAATTTCCTCCTCTACTAGTGTAGCAGATATGCTTCCTCTACAGTCAAACTGAAAAATCCCTTTAGATCTAAAGCAGACAAAACTTGGTACTATTTCTTTAGAATATTCCACCAAGCTACTTATCTCTTAATAAATCTGACCCTCGTCTCCTCAAATTTTTTGAAAAGATGTTCAGTAAGTCAAAAAACAAAAAACTTTAATCAAGAATATGTTTACTCGTACAACAATTCTCTGTTCCAACAAAACAGATCGGAACTAGTTCTGAGCCGTACTTACCTCGGGCTTGCGCAGAGAAATAATTCGGAATTAGTTCTGAACTAGTTCGAAACTGCTTGCTGAAAAAAAAACCTAGTGGATTCACCTTGGAAACCAAGTAACATAGATATTACTTTGAGGTCAGCACATACTTTCCACTTATTCATTGATCTTGGAAATCTTACGATTACACTCACAGTCAGTCTCACAAAGGTACCAATGTAAAATGAAAGAATTCTGCTTTTAACTAATATTACTAAAATGGACAAAAGGGGATCGATTAAAACCAAGTGCATACCCTGGAAACAAGGAGCAAAAGGCGTCCCCTGCCTACATATTGTAACTAGGAGGAATTTATAATAGCAATTAGTCGTTACTTGTTAGGATACAAAAAAAAGTATAGCTTTGGTTCGAATGCCATCGATTTTGCTTGCAATAGGATCTTTCAGGACTCTTATCTTCCCTCAAAATCGGTTGTTATGTGCAAACCAAACAAACAGTACATCAAGTCATATATCACTTGAAGGGCAGAGGCAACAGGTCGCGTGCGTTGCCATCACCTCCGATCCGTAGCGCCACGTATCCGCCATAAATAAATCCGGAGGCGGTCGTGAAACAACACAAATTCGCCCTGGAGATCTCTGGATAATCCGGGATCCAGGCATCCAGCGGCACCTGGCATTACATATTGTCGACAACGGCACGGCTGGGGCACGAGCCGCCGGTTTAACACCGACATGGTAACGCTCAACGACGAGTGGCAATAAATCGCTCCCCAACATGCTGTTCACGGTTCCCATTTGAGACACCAGATTGTCGCCTTTACCAGGAACGCGAAAAGTTTAAGTCCAGGCTGCCTAGATAACTGGAAACCATGTCAAATACACTGACTATTTGTCAGTTTGAGGTTAGAAAAATCTTCTAAGCAGACATCTTTCAAAGTTAGAAATCACACTTTTCGTGGATCTCTTCCCAAGATGGTGGAAACAACTGATTGTTGAAACTTATATTTGAAAATAACCCTGAATTGGCAAGGTTCTAAAGTGTCTCCAGATGAAGAAACAGGATTGGAAATATTCAAAGCTGGCATTAAGACCTTTTTTATACAAACATTTCTGCAATAAACCCGCACAAAAGGAGGATACATCTGACAGTATCTTTCCCACAGATCTCTCCATATCTCATCCCCTGCTCTTTCGATATTTTAGCAGACTTTTGCACTTTATCAGTAGGTCACGGCAGGCATGTTTTCGAAAAATTATATTAACTTTCTCTTGTGTCGATAATATTAATGCAGACACTATGCACTCTGATGTTATGGCGGGGTGTACTTTCCCGATTTGGTCTTGACCTTGATAAATAAATCTTGCGATTCAGATTATTAATGGCCGTATCACCAGTCGTTCCTACAGTTGTAGGACGCCTTTACGGCCTCCTTAATTTTCATAGTTTTTCCTGTCCTGCAGGGCTGTTTCTAGATTTCTCCTATTTCGTGTGAGCGCTCTAGTTATATTTTCTTTTTGAACGGAACAGTAGAAATCTAACAATACCCCAGTCTTTCTGAAGGAGAAAAGACTATGAAAATCAAGGAGGCCATAAAGGCGTCCCACAATTGTAGGAATATGTAATAGGATAATTTTATCACTTTCTGCTTTCCATAACTATATATCGACCTTTTATTTTCCTGTAGTTTGTATCAAAATAACAAAATATCTCGAAAAATTACCTAAACAATCTGGCCTTAAGTAGCTTTCAACCTGAATAGTCCAGTTATTCCTTTCGGCTGATCAAGAAAGTCTACGTATGTTAATTTTGAAGCTAACAGTTTTTTGCTTTGTACTTTGAAAACGTTCACCAAGGCAGTCC